CTATTTGATATAGATGACTTTTTCTGTTCATAGAATGCCTGTTTTGTTAGATAATCATCTGGTAATTCCACGATAAGCAGCCAATATTTTATTATTTGTTTTTTGATGTCAATTAAAAGAGGATATTGCCCCAATTCTGCTCTTGCTGCTAGATTACATGAGGTCCTGTTAATCTGCAAGATTTGCTTACAAAACTTCAAATGAATATTTTCTATCGTGTTTTTTCCCATTTGTTGTTGTTGATGAAACTTTGTCCCCATACCACTGATCCATATAGAAGGATGGGATTTATAAAAACGTTAAATAAGTGTAAAGAAAGTTTAATATTTTTATTATCCCATAGTATTTTTCTGCTTTCTCTGCTATATTGGCTGTTGCCTCATTGAAATTACCATTTGAACTGAAAAAAATCCCTAAATAAATATACTGTTTATTACATTTAATGTATTGGTTGCCAATAGTAAAAAAGTATTCTTTTTGCAGTGATGATTTATTGAAAATAACAATTTCAGTTTTAGATATGTTCATCTTAAGTTGCCAATTTGGGCAATATTGTTCAAGTTCATTAACACTTTAAACAATCTCCATGCGAATAAATCTAATGAGATGTGGAATATTCTAAATCTTATGAAGGAGTCTAATCAAGACAAGAAAAATATTAACCATGTCTCGGGCACTGAATGGCTTGAGTACTATAATAATATTAATTCAGATAGCACGAACTTAAATACGTTTCATGATAGTGTTAAAAATGATTTATTAAGATTTGAAAACAGTGCTCGTCAAGCCAAGGTGTTTTTTTTTTGATGAATTAAAAATTGCTAAGATTACACCCATTTACAAAAAAGGTACTATCGCCCTATTTCAATCCTTAGCAAAATATTTGAATCGATTATAAGTTTCCTTCACAATCACATACTTTCAAACACGCAATTTAGTTTTCGCAAAACAACATAACACTACACTCGCCCTAGCTGACCTGGTCACTAGCATCGCCGATAACATTGACACTGGCTGCATTACTTTCGGAATTTTCATCGACCTGGAAAAAGCATTTGATACAATTAATCACAAAATCTTACTCCACAAACTTGAACATTATGGTATAAGAGGTTTTCCGTTACATTGGTTTGAAAACTACCTTTCCAACCGACAACAATCAGTTAATATTGATAACACACTATCTTCTTTCAAAGAAATAAAGTGTGGTGTTCCTCAAGGATCAAATTTAGGCCCAATTTTATTTCTAGTTTATATCAATGATATTATAAATTCCAGCGATGTTATCGATTTTCGTTTTTTTGTAGACGATACAGCTCTGTTTAAATCTGTCAAAGACAACACAATCTATTTCTCGGACATTAATGACGAATTCCAGTCTGTGAATGGTGTAATGCTAACCAACTAACTATTAACGCACAGAAAACAAACTACTTGACTATAAAGTCACCACAAAGAACAGTTACTACAGAGGGCAGTTTGGTCATTTAGTAAAATTTTTATCAGTATTGTGAAAAATTTGGTTAATTTAGGATAACTCAGTTTCTGGGTGGGGAGAGCGCACTCTAGGTTAGTAGTTTGGGTAATGTATTTCCCATCGTCATTTGCGGCCCGCCATCTTTGAGTTGGCTACTTTTTCATATGTATTTACAGTCACAATCTGCCTAATCTTCATGGATCAACGTCCACATCGGCATTGTTCTACTTGTCAAGTATCCTTACGCAATCATCGAGGACCATCAGAGCGACTTTTCATAAGATGGCTACTTCAACTCCCACACTGCAGGACGATGAAGCATGCATCACATCGTCACCACTACAGGATAAGTTAACTGAAACTCGCAAACTGATCCATAGTTGGAGTTTAACAACATCTATGGACAAAAAAGATATGCTGGAGGCTCTTCGTCAAGAAAACGAACAACTGCAAATTGAATTACAAACCGAGGCAGAAATGGCCAAAAACGAAGCTCTCAAAAGCAAAGCCAAGAAAACACACAGTTCTAAATCCAAAGTGAGCATTGTTGACATAATAAAAGACAGCAGTGTAAAGAAAAAGTGCATAAAGCGAAGAAAAAGTTGCAAATAGTAGAAACCCATAGCTCAACCGATTCTGAATCTGAGCAGTCTACATCATCCTCAGATTCCAATGGTGATACCAGAACCACCG